TAAATAGCATATTAATTTAAATCTATCTATCTGTCTATATATAAAATAAGAATAAGATTAAATCATTTTTAGAAAATGTTTTCGCCAAAATCATTAATTAGATACTACAAATGTAAGTTTATATTCTTTTTAAGTATTTTCATAATAAAAAATAAAAAGAAACATTAAATGCATTATATTGTTGTTTGTCATGAGTTTTTTAGTCATAAAAATCAAACCATTTTAATGATCTCGTAATCTATTATTTTAATGGTAAAGATTTTGTTGACTGTATTTTTTTTTTAGCAGTTTTCTTAAAATGACCAACTAATCCAAATAAAATTTAAAACTGCAATTGAATTGGACATGTTATATTTCAATCTTATTTTTATATTCCTTTTTTCACAAAAATAAGCTATAAAAGTGCGATATAAATACTAAAACAGTTCGACCCTTTCATGCAAAACTTAACAAACTTTTTTTTAATAAATAGCATTCTTGGATACACAATTAGCATTCAAACTTATCACGGTGATTTCTTATCACATGAAAAAGTTTTTCATTATGAATCTAAGCAAAAAAATGATTGCCTTGTTAAAAGAGATATACACAAGATCCATGCAAAATGAAATTTAGATATACACAAATCAATTTATTTATGACCCATTATTTTCCATAAAAAATGTGATTTACATGTTCTTCGATTCATTTAGTTAGTTTTGAGCTACAAATGATAAAATATCATTGTTTTTTTAACATACTTATTTTTTTAAATATTATTACAACAAAATCTTATTTATCAACATTGTTTCTTCAACATACCCATATTTGGAAACAAAAGAAGGTAGCAACTATATTGGCCAACAGAACATCAACAAAAACCAAAAAGCTTAAACACACACACACACGAACATCAATAGAACCAAAGCTTGCATACACACACACGCGCAGAGAGACAAACAGAGAGAGAGATTTCTTCAAACCATACACATACAGGGGATTATGCAACTAGATTCTTCATTAGATTCAGCACAACACCAATTTTTCACACACAGAGAGAGAGAGAGAGAGGGAGAGAGAGAACTTACTCCTCCATTTGCAAGAGCGACGGCCCTGATGGCCGCTGCTTCCATCACCCAGGGCAGAGGATTCCACATAAATCCAAAGAACTTCAGAAATTTACTCTCCTGTAAATTTTCATTCAATTTCTCAAATCAAGCCAAGAGTAAAAAACCATAACTAGGCACTACAAATCCCCCACGGAAAACAAGAAAACATAAGCTATCAAACAAAAACCAAAGTTGGTACAAAAGAAAAAAATATATATGTTACCTGAAAAGGGTGACCTCCTTCTCCTCAAGCTTGTTCTGACCAAAAATCTCAAGCCTCCTGCTAGCATCCTTTGACGACAGCCCCTCTCTCGAGCACCTCAGATTCTCGAAAACCTCCGTCGATCGGTATATTCTCCTACAAACAAACAAAAAAAAAAAATCAATTATATCAAATTTCAGAAACAACAAAACACCAACAAAAAAAAAATACGAAAACTGAAAACCACGAAAAAACGATGGAAAACAAAACCAAAAAGAACTACACACCAAATCAACTGCCTCCCTCTTGAGAGCCTCCATGGCGTCGTCCTTCCCTGCCATTTCTGCGAAAAACACATAACAATCAACAAAACTCCTTTAAATACTCATCCACGCTTAGTTACGTACAAGCATAGTTGTACATTTTCACTTAGATAGAATGAGTCGTCATCAGGCGAACCGAAGATCATTCTATCAGTTACTTGCGAAACAAGAAATTGTGGTTCACAACCTAGATGGAAATGAACACCCCAACGGTTGTAGTGTCAACGGTACATTTGTCTTGACTAATTAGTTGCACTAGTACATTTATGTATTGAAAAGAATCCCAGAGAGGAGATGTTTGTTTTACACTGATCGTCGTAAACGAACTAGGCCTCAATTAATTACTGCATTTTCGGTAATATTACTGTATGTGTGATGTGCTGTTAGGATATTTACGGTCACCATGTACATTTAGATTGATGATGTCCCCGAAGTGAGTCCATGAAGGATTATTATGCTAAACCTGCAGAGGGATTAAATTTCGGCATAGTAATAATGTGATGAATGAGCTCTAGCTTTGAAGAAATAATAATAAATTAATTAATTCTTGATTATTAATAGTCGAATTAATTAATGGATATTATATCTTAAACATGGAGAGGTAATTCGGGTAATCATTATTGGAGTCTCAATTCAGTAACACATGACATGTTACTGAGGGTAACTACAAAATCTACCCCCAAGAAAAATCCCACTTATCTTCTGGAATTATAATTAATCCCTTGAGGTCTGTATTTCCCATTCATATACATAACACATCCCAATGATGCACTTATGTGATGTAAATAATTTGAACTTTGAAACAAAATCGGGTTTCTTTGCAATAAAGCTAAGCCTTGAGTACTTCTACAAACATGTTTGTCAACTGAAAAATAAAATGACAGAGACAAGTCCTTACTGTTCTGTTGTGCTCAAATTCACTATCGTCCTCCAAGTAAAAGTCGAGATACGAAATATCTACCTGAAAAACATCGAATCAATTTGAATTAAAAAGAGAGGAGGAGATAATTAGTCTCAAAAGATAGGAGTGACTATAACTAGCGAGAA